GATCCCCATATTTGGTGCTACTTATGGTCGAAGATCCCCCTTTCTTCGAGCTTGGGGTGAGAGCATCTTCGCCTTTTGGCACACCTTGCAGAATGGGTTTTTAGGACGATGGCAGAACTGATGGTGGATGCTTTCGGCCTCGGCGCGAAGCCGGGCTTCTTGCGAGATTTCCCTTCCCTCATCTTCTTCCTTGTCACTATCGGGCTCGATCAAGGGGTCGTCCTCGGGTCTTTTGAATGCGGTAATCGACAGAATTGGCGCTCCATCAATCTTTTGGTTTTTAACCCTTAGACTTCTGATGTCAACAGAATCCTCAATCTTGCTCCAAGCAGAGTCCTTGTAGATCCAAGTGGTCCTTAGCACGAACCTTGGATGACGAGGTGCGGGTACTCGCAAAGCCTTTGGCCGATGACCAATGATGATCTTTGATGCGGCGAATTCACTGCTTGTGATGCAACCTGGCTTGGCTAAATCTTTAGGCTTGATTGCAATTGGCGGTGCGGCATTGATTGCTTCTTCTATCTCGGAGTCGCTGTGAACGACTCTTTCATCCCCGGCCGGTCCTCTCGGACGGCTTTCTACTGGAAACCCGAAGACTCGTCCTCCGCAGGTGCCGCCAGTTCAACCTTGACTGTTCCGGCGTTAAACACCTGAGTTCCAGCAGATTTCTGGGAATCATCAGCGCTTGCTGGGCCTGCTACCGATTCGTCATTTGAGATTACTGGGACTCTACCCTTCATCTTACATTTGATGACTTTACCATCGGGAGCTACAAAGTACGGAACCTTGCCCGCAGGCCAATGGAAATCATATCCATCGTCCATGCATCTTCTCCCAACGGAACAAACCGGTGGCGTGCTTTCCAGTAAGTAGCATTCAATGTTCTGCTTCAGTTCGGGCATTGGGATGTTGGTTGACTTGATTCCTTGAACTGGACCATTAGCTGTAATCAAATTGACTGGCCTACTAGCGTTCTCGATGGGAGCCTCTGGGTAGTAGATGGAATGATCGTGCCTACTGATCAGGTCTTCTTCACTGCCAGTGTCGGCGAGGGATTCTAATCCCGCATTAAAGCTAGAGCATGCTGTTCTTTCCACACTAGAACACAGCTCGCACTTCAACACTGCAACTGGGACCTCACCCTCTTCACAATCATCTGTGCACTCATACTCACAGTGGCTTTCAATCCCATTGAGCATACAGGACATGATCCTGGCAAGCTCATTCGCTGTTCTTATGGCCGTGCTTAGGTCCTGAACTGGAGGCTTCGGGCAACTTTCAGCATCCAAGTAGCAGACCTCGAAGGTTCGCGGTTTGGCCCTATGCTTCTTACCCTTACCATCCAATGGAATCTCCCGAATGCTTGGCTTCTCTTTAAACCTCAATTTCTTGAAAGTTCCTGAAGCGTTACCGTTGATGCCGTGCCCATTGGGCACAGCTGCCAGCGCATACGAAATGCAACAAGCTGCCGTGCGTCCGCCAGACTTATCCTTACTCTTAGACCTGCCCCTGTGTTTCTTTTCCTTCTTTGCTTTCGGATCCGGGGTCGGACTCCTTGGCTTGTCATCCTTCTTTGCAGGGGCGGCCTGCTCGGTAGGAGCGGCATCACTTGGTTTGGACTTGTCCTCATGCAGGAACCTACAGTCTTTGCCTTTAGTGCATTTACCTTTCTTCCAAAAAGTGCAAATGGCATTGATCTTCTTCTGGGGTGTTCGATGAGGACTTGGGGATCTTGACTTCGGTTTGTGGAGGAATTTGCACTTGTCGCCTCTTGTGCATTTTCCTTTCTGGAAGTCGTAACAAATCTGTTGCGTTTTGGGACTCTGAGATCTCGGCGGTGTTCGTTGGCTTCATCCTTTGCTGCTTGTTCTAGATTTTGAGCTACTTCGGGACATGCTTCTACCACGGCCTCCTCGTGAAGAGGGGCGTCGTTCCGATCCGTACGCTGGGGCTCCGTATCTATCGCCATGCGACTTAGCAATGCGATCACGATTCTTGCGCATGCGCTCCCTAGTCAGATGCTCCCTAATGGCATTGACGAGGAATTCATACGTGTGTACGGGGTTTCCTTCCTTTGCCCTGTCGTACAACTGAAGATCGTACTTGATGTGGTGGGATTTCCGAATTGCCCTCAGCAAGATGTCCCTCAAGGTAACCTCATCCGGAACATGACTCATTCCAGCAATCACCGACTCGAAGTTGTAAAGGAAGGTAGCCAAATCGTCCCCAACCAACTTCACTTTTAGAAGGTCTTCTACGCTATAGAGGCTTCCGACTTCTTCATTAGTCTTAAAGTGTTGATGAAACATCCACAACACCTGTCTTCCCCTGACGGCGCGTCCTCCTGTGGCTTCTGTTTCTTTGAAGTTTAGAACTTGCCTTGAAATCTCTCCTCTAGCGACTCTGGTAAGTGCAGCCAACAATTTCGTGTCCAATGTTAAAAACTTCCCAGTATCGTGCAAGGACTTGAGGGTAGCCTCTTTATCGTATACTTCCTGCACCCAGCGAAATGCCTCATCCGGGCGATCGCTCGCAGCCCGCACAATCTCGCGGACCGAGATCCGCCATGATCGGTAGGTCTCTGGATTAGGGTATTCGGGAAGCTTGATGCTTTCGGCTTCTTTCACCTTTGGTTTGCCCTCTTCCTCTTCGGTCTTAGGGTTTAGCAAACGCGCTGCCCTAAGCAATGCCTCAGCTCCGAAATCAACCCTTGGAACCCCTTCTGGATCAGCAGTTTCCGGCTTGCCCGTTTGGGCAGCTTTAGGAGAGTTCTCCTTTTGTGGTTCTCTGCTCTCAAACCCAGGTGGTACTGAAGTCCCTTGTGTAGCTTCCTGAGCTCGCGGCGTTCTTCCGAAGAGATCCTTCATGCTCTCGGGAATCTCAAATGGATTCGAGAATGGGACGGCAGGATTTGGTTCTGGCTTCGGCGTGGCATGTTGTTTGCCCGCTTTATCCGCATCAGCTTCCGTTCTTAGAGCTCGTTCTGCGGCGGCCAGCTCATCCTGCAGTCTATCGTTTTGTGCACTCATTTCAGCGATTTCATTCATAAAACGCCGTTCCATAGTCGCTTCGGTTTCATCAAGGACTTGTTTGAATCGCATTCCAAGAAAATCAAGATGTTGTGCTTTGTTGCGTTCGCTCTCAGCGATCAGAGTAGTTCTGAGCTTAGCGATTTCCGACTGATGCCGTTGTTGGAAAACTGATTCCATGATGTTCATTTCATTCCTGCATGTTGCAACTTCGTTCAACAAAAACTTTTCCCTTTGGGATGCGTTGAACTCAAATTCCGCAAACTGTGCTTCGCATTCTGCCATCTTCACCTCATGAAGGCGCTCAGCCTGTTCAGCCATGCCAGCCATTCTCATAAGGTTATCTTGCGATTGTTGGTTCAGAATGCTTGTGTGTCTTCTTTCGGCATCTGCCTCCGTTCGCTCTATTGCCATTCTTTGCTGTTCGGCTGTCTCACCTTGGTTCACAACATTGTATAGTGTGTACTGTACCTTCGAGATGTCGACCGACGGATTAGAGACAAAAGGCGTTAGGGTAGGACCTCTTGGACCGAAGATCCTATCAAGTGCTTGGGATCCTGAGCTCGGTGCACTGGGGCCCATGCCAGCCGTTGCGAGTTGCTCGTCTAGTAGTCGATCTCTTGTTTCGTCGTCCATCTCGTCTGATGACACTTCGGTTGTCTCTCCCTTCTCAGTTGTGATCAGGGAGGGAGAAGTGCTCATATACCAGTGTGAATACCAGTGTAAGAATACCACGGAGACAAAGTCAGCGAATACCGATGATAACCTATAGAATACACCAAAACCGTTAAGCCATGAGCGGATAAGCTATCCTTTTTACTCAGAGGGCTTGAGCATGACGTCACGGTATATGATACACAACATGATGACTGTACACGACCATACAAACTCCTATGCAAGCTGCGATGCAAAACTACAGTCATATTACGACGCACTCGACAATACACTGTCGCAAGCTACTTCCGCTTCTGCGCCACTCTACGGCAAACCCTAAACCCTAAACCATAAACCCTAAACCGTTCTCAACAAAAACATCTCGGCTCTGCAGCTCGCCCTTCGGCCTTGCGGCTTCAACGTTCTGCCTGCTTGAAGGCTCATGGGACTTAGTAAGTAAGGTTATAAGTAGGTTATTACTAGGATAACTCCACTTAGGGGACTTATAATCCCAGTTATAACCTACTTACTAAGTCCCATGATCCTCTAAGTGGCCAGTTTGCTGCTTGGCGCTTCTGCTGGGAGGAACTCGTCGCCGAATGTCTCGCCGACAGCGAATTGTGGAATTTCCCAAAATAGGGGACCCTAATATAATACCCTAATAGTAAGGATCCTTATTATACGGACCCAAATAGGGTACCCCTAATTGTCGGAAACGTCGGAAACTCCCATTTCAGGTCGGACTCCATGCCCAGCATTGTGGTGGCCCATGCTCTCGGCGTACAGCTTGTCGGACTGGCCCGAATTAATGTCGACTGTTGCATATACTCGGTTTCGCTACATTTAGGTTGCATTGCCATATACATTACACCGCTATATGTTACGATACGAAACTGGGCTTTATTGTAAGCTGGCCTTTAGGGCCGTCCTGTCTGTGATATTACATTACAATCTACTCCAATAGATTACTTCTTAGTAGCTTAGCAATTTGCAGTGCTAGAACAAACTAAACTATCCGATCATGTCCTATCATTGTTCTATCTTAGCCAACCCTGTGCTGTGCAATACTATACTACACAAGCTATACCATACCATATCATATTCTATCATACCGCCCCATACCATAGGATAGGACACTGTGCCGTACTAAGTCGCTACTCGACTAGACTACAGTAGAGTGATTACATTCCGTTGCGCTATGTTCCATTCCATTGCCTTACACTAGATGACATCATATCTGTCTTCTACTACACGATAACGTCGTAAAAAAAACAACCCCAGCCCTGGGGGGGTTCAGCAGATTGAGCTCTGCTTTGCCTGCAATGCAAGGCCCAGAGCTCGCGCAAGGCTCTCGCCTAGGCTGTAGAAGTGGAGGGCTTTGAAGGCTCGGTAAGGGTGCATTGACAGTCTGGATGGCCTTCACACCATCGCCGAGATTGCGTAAAGACTCGGAGCCCAAGGCCACCCACAGTGCTTGTACGACGATAAAAGTCGCAAGGGCCTTGGGTTTGGGGCTTGTCGGGTTTAGGATATAGACTCGGCTCCAATCAGGACTTAGAAGGCGACATCACGGGCATTCACCATTTCCCAGAGACTCCAATATCCTTTGACTAGGAATTTTGCTTTAAATCATATTAAGGATCCGACTATATTTTTGTTATTCCTTAATGAAGTGATATCGGAGTCTCTGGGTTGTACGTACAACCTTAGCCCAGTTTTCCACGGCATGATTCGCACCCCAGGGGCCGGGACGCTGATTCTCGGAGCTACGTTGCTCTACATATATACACTGCACTGGGTCCGGAAACTGGATGTACGATGCCAAAGGATACATATGGGTAACTGTCAAATCACGGTCGTTTGGGGAACACGCTAATCGCCGACTCTCCATACCACACCCTACAGTTTGGAAACCCCACAAGAAACCCTGTTTGAACAACCACCCATATCGATCAGGAGCGATTACGAGTAGAGGCCAGCCGGTTCGACAAGCTGGACACCAAAACACCGGCGCACGGCTGGCAAGTTGCTGTACTTTGCGCGAACCGCCTTGCCTGCCAGTGGCCATGCAACTGATCTGGGTTTGGGTTCGTACGCCAACATGTGGGATACTCATGGAAATGTGCTGTATAATGCAGTATAACGAAATGTGAGAATATCTGTGGGCTCAAAGAAGCACGACAATCATGACCAAGCTACTGCATGCTTCCATTTCCCTATCTTTATGGGCAACTGCACATCGCTCTGCCACCACAGGCACATCAGAACATTCTGACCCTAAACTCTAAACCTTACACCCTGAGTCTCTCCAACCTGTACAGGAGTCCTGTCCCTGTCTTTGTCAGTGTTGCCGGCAGCAGATGTCAGAAGCACAACGACGACACTGCAGTAAACTGTACTTGGAGGCTCATGAGTACTGTAGTGATAAGTGGGGCTCTAAGTCTAAGTAGGAAAACTATAGTTTTACAAATAGTTATAACCTATATTCGAGGCCTTATAACCCTACTTAGAGCTGCCCATGAAACTCCAAGTAGCGTTGTGCGTTTAAGGGGCAATATACACCCTCAGGTCATCAAATCACAAATAAGAAGTATCTCAGCCGAGACTGTATGGGCTCTTCGTCACGAGGCCACCCACTCCTCCCGGTGCCAGCAAGACAATTGGCCAGCCAATCGCTTTCATACTGGCGGCAGTGGCTGATCCCTGCGACAAAGCTCATGAAGGGAGAGGGTAAATCATCAGGCCTCTACTTCAGAGCTTCAAGTTCGAAACCCTCGATGACGTGATGCCTATTCTGCGACCCAAATAAACCCCAAACCCGAAGCCCCTAAACCGGAAACCGTGCCTCCACCAACCACGAAGGTGACCTGGCTGGAGCGGTCTATAGTTGCACATGCAAGAGCTTGTGCCAGCAAAGCTAAACACAGTCCCCGAGGGTCAACTAAGCCGCAAAAGACCATTCAAATGATGGCTTTGGGGCACCCCATTAGGACATGGCAATGTATGCGGACCCTCTTGGATATACTGCTTTTGGAGTACTATCAACACCCCTTCCACCCTTGAATGCCCGTGCCTGCAGGCTCCTCAACAGAATCTCTCGGAATGTTTAATTTTTCTTCTTGATGCTGTGATCGGTATACCCGCTCTCCAAGAACACATGCCGAGTCAACAAACCTTAAGCTCGGGCACCGACCCGGATCATGCTTCCTTTCGTCTGCAGCGGCGTGCCGAAGGCCTCTTTGACCAGGGTCTTCACCTCCACTGCAACAGTTCACAGAGCAGGGTTTTATAGGGGCCCGGAAAATTGGACTAAAGTTTCGGGGTATACTGTGCCATGTATATACATAACTACCTAGGGCTGCTAGCGACTCTAGCGCCTCTTTTTCTACGGCTTGAGGCCCCCCCGAAATCTCACCGTGTATGGTTTAAGGTCCGCACCTCATCTCACTCCTAAAGCCCTATAGTAGAAGCCAGAAAGTTGGAACATTAGTATCCCCATGCCCTTCAGGTAAGGCATAAGGGGTCCTAGCACCAATCCTGCTAACTTTCTGGGACTCGCCCTACCCAGAGCCTCCAAAACCCCTTAATTAAAGACTATACCTTAAATCATACTAGGGATCCTACTATAATTTAAGGTATATTCCTTAATTAAGGGGTTTTGGAGTCTCTGGGTAGACAGCTTCAGTCGACCTGGCTTTGGACTTGGGGTCTCATATGGGTTTAGGTTGGAAGCTGCCCCCACCCTGTAATAGTGACTATAAGGATTATATAGGATTATATTAGGGCCCTATTCTATTCCTATTATACCACTATTACAGGGTGGGGGCAGCTTCTAAGGTTTAGGGTTTAGGGGTTTAGGGCTTAGGGATTTTACACCCTAACCAGAAAGCCTGCAGCAGGATACCTGGGCCCAAAAAATGCGTGGAAAAAATACGGTGCAAGATGCACAGCAACAGGAAACTGTGAAGCTATGCTGGCTAAATTACTCAGCACTGTACTGGTGATGATAGAAATGCTACAGAAGAAAAACAGTAACAGTAACAGTCAGACCTGCATGAACAGAAAGCTGCCCACAAGTACAAGCATGACTACATCATAACTGCAGCTCGTTGTTAAAGATTAACACCCATAAACAATGAACCCTAGAAGCCCTATAAACCCTTTAGACCCCATTACATCTGTAAAGCCTGTACACTGCAAACCCTGTAAACCCTAAAAGCATCGATAAACCCTAAGCCCTACTTAAAGGATCATGGGACTTAGTAACTGAGTTATTATTAGGGTAACTATACTTATAACCCCAATTATGGTACTTATAACATTACTTACTGAGTCCCATGATCCTCCAAGTACACTCTCTCGTTGCAGACCTGGGGATCGTCGTACCCAGCCAGGTCGTACTGCGCCGTCTCCTGTGATTGAAGCTCTTTCGGGAGGGCTTCGGGGGGGTTTAGGGTTTAGGGGTTTAGGGGTTTTGGGGTTTAAGGGTTTAGGTTTTAGGGTGTGGATGTATAGTTTAGGGTTTAGCTTTGAAGCTTTATAACCCGTCTTCCTTGCTGGCGGGAATCTAACCCGAACCACGGAAGCCGGGTCAGGGTAGGGGTACAAGCAGCCCTGTCAGGGTCATCTAGCAGCATCTAGCATATACTTTGGCCTTACTGTAGTCCGCTTGTAGGCACTTTGTGCCCAACATACGATAACTCGCCCTGCACATGGACAAGTCCTCACAGCCTCAAGTAATACTAAACCCTTAGCCGCAAGCTCGAAATCCTAAGCCCCCACAACCTACACCTCAAGTCCTATATCCAAACCTTTCAAGGCCACACCGGCAAATCCCAAATCCTCCAAACAAATGCCCTGAAGCGCTCAATCCAAACGACCTTAAACCCTTGCCCTAACTATGGCTCCGCAACCCTACTGCTTTAAGGGATAGACCCTTTAATCAAGGGGTCATAACTAAGGGCTCACAACCTGCTACCAAAACGGTTTGGGCCTAAAGATAAACCACAAAACCCTAAACCCTAAACCTTAAAACCCTCATCCCCTTTGCGAAGGCCCCAGTCCGGTGTCGAACGGATCTCTGCCGCAATCTTGTCCTTGGGCTTCGAGGCCTCCTGACTCATCGTTGGGGGTCTTTGGGCTCCGGGAGTGCGGGCTTGGGGTTGTAGGGTCTACTTAAAGGATCATGGGACTTAGTAACTTAGATGGTTCCTTAAACGGGATCTTATAGGGATCTATGCGGGGGTTTGGGGCCTAAGGATCATGCGACTTAGTATACTTAGAACCCCAAGTATGGTACTAATTCCCATGATGCTCCAAGTAGGGCTTATGGTTCTAGTGTCAGGGTAACTCATTCTAACATTGGAGGGCTTGAGATTGGTCAAGGGTCTTGGGCTTTGGGCTCAATATTGCTCCCTCCTCCGGAGTGTAAGGTTTAGGATTTCTGGCTTTGGGGGCTTGGCGCAAAAAATGCCGAGCTCATGGTTTTGGGGCAGAGCTTTGGGGTTTATAGTAAACCCCATAAAGTTGGAAACCAGGTTAAGGCCAAATAGTGCTGGGTTTCCCGTTACATTACTCTTAAGGATTGAGGATATGGGGTTTACAACTTTTGGGCTTCTGCTTTAACCCTACCCTAAACCCTAAACCCTTATGGTACCTTAAAGATTCCTTAAAGGAGCCATTATAGATCCCTTAAAGGAGTCCTCTTTAGGCGTGGGGTTTCAGGGTCTTCGACACTTTCGGGTGTCGGATGTGGGTATCGGGCTCAGGGTCTACGGATTCGGTACAAGTCGTGAAACATCTAAGGTAAAAGCCAGAAAGTTGGAATATGATTATCCTAACCCTTCTATAATAAATTATAGGGTATCCTACCCTGAAACCATATTCCAACTTTCTGGAGTTCCCTCTAGGTTTACGGTTCAGGGCTCGGTGTTGTCTTCGAATGTGTGTGTAGGGAAATCGGTAGGCAGAAGTGCACCTTTTCGAGAAGAAGCTGTTTCTCTGTGAGGGTTTAGAGCTTTTCGGGACTAGGAATCAGAGATTATGGACAATGTGGCACATCTGTTCGTCATTTCGTCATGAAAACAGGATATAGGTCTTTAGAGCGTAAGGTTTAGAAGGTCAGGGTATATCACTTGAAAGACTGATGAGCCTCGCGCGCGGCTTCGACTCCAAACCCAACGAGGGGCCCGTGGCAAATTTGCGAAAGAAGCTGAGCGCTGTACGGTTTAGGGTTTAGGCTTAGGGGGAATGACGGCTCTCCAAATTCTAGTCGCACAAGAGCTGGCATGGACAGCACTAGATCGAGTGCAGTGTTGGCGTTGTTCACTGGGGCTGAGCAGCGGGCTACAAGAAACGATGTACCTTAATCCCTAAACCCCAACCAAACACAACCTGACCTCCGCTCTTTGCTGATCCCTCCTCGCAACCGCCCTTTTTCAAGCTTTCTGCAGCTGTCAGCTTGCGACACGGACAGAAGTACATTGGTGCTCCTGAGCAAGGGATCCTCCCATCTTCTCTTCTAGGTCCACATAAGTAGGGGTTCGGGCGAGTTTAAAGCGCTTCAAAATGACGGCATCCTTCTTCCCACGACTCACTTTTACCAAAAAAAGAGACCGTCAAATCAAACAAAGTTGGTACACCAATATACTACTGAGGCCCCGGGGTGGCGTCAAAAACGTCAGACTCTCAACCCCCCAAAACCAAAACCCGTGACCCTAAACCCTATATAAACCCTAAACCCCAAATAAAACCCTAAACCCTAAACTTTGATCCTCCCGTCCGCATCGCCGGACCGGCCCCAGCACCCTGAACTCCCCCAAGCGGCCCAACTCTGGCCAAGTCCCGAAGTCTTAACTTACCGTTGGTTAGTACCGAACCATAACTTATAAAAGGGTCTATCAGGGTTACTATGAGGGATCTATAAGGGTACTATAATATCGGGGCCTAATAATCCAATAACTTACCGTTGGCTAGTAGGGAATGGAAGAATGGTAGTAATAGTAGCTATAATTGTACCCCATTCTTCCATTCCCTACTAACCAACGGTAAGTTAAGAACCCATTTATGATGATGTTGATGCTTCGTCTGCCATGTGCCACCACCAAAACCCTCCACCCTCCACCCTAAACCCTAAACCCCTAAAACACTAAACCCTAAACCCCTAAACCCTAAACCCTCAACCCCTAAACCCCTAAACTGTTGCCCACCACCACCACCAGCCCGGAGAGCTTCAAGCTCGGAGCTAGCAAAAATCGAGCTTACAGGGGCTACAAAGGCTTTAGTTACCTTAAATCATATTGGGGATCCTACTATAATTTAAGGCAGATTCTTTCATTGAGAGGATACTTGAGCCTCTGGGCTACAAGGATTTTTGGTTTTCTATCCGATGCCAATCTTACAGCGCCCGCAGGGTTTAGGGGCAACCATGGGGACTACATGGAAACAATGCAAATATCCGATGTCAATCTTTGGGAGCATCGTCCCTGGCTTAGGAGATCGCCTACACAGCTGTGAGACCTCGGGCAAGTGAAACATCCACCTAGGGAGCAGCTCCTGAGCAGCGACGGCATCTGAAGATTTAGCCTTTAGGAAGTTTAGGGTTATGTAATCATGCATTGGGGTTTAGGGTTGAAGGTTTAGGGGGGCAGCGACGGCATCTGACTATCTTTCTAAGAAATCCATGTCAAAGGGTCTCGGTAGAAGGTTAATTTCATCGGGGCCAGTAACTGGAATGGATTCCCGGAATCCATGTATAGGTGTAAGGTTGGGGTCCGTTTAGGGTTGAGAACCTTGGGGTTTCGAATTTCGGAGGCTGGTCATTGTAGTTGATTTGTTTGGTGCTTGCAAACCTCTTCACATGGATATTCACATCCATCCCCATATCCATACCTAGTCCCACACTGGTGTTGACATGCGTGCATATATATATATATATATATATATGTATGTATGTAGTAGGTAGGTGCAAATACATGTTCGATGTTAACTGTGTATTGGTTGTAGATGTTTGCGTGTAAAAGTACAGTCGACTAAGCAAACCAACAATTTAGTACACAAAGCGAGTCAATACATTGAGCCAAAACAACTCAAGGAACAAATCAGTACATCCATATACGTGCATATGTATGTATGTATGTATGTATGCATGCCTACCTATATACTTAAATACCTAGCTACCTACCTACCTACCTACCTACCTACCTACCTACAGCCTACAGCCTACAGCCTACAGCCTACAGCCAACAGCCTATAGCCTACAGCCTACAGCCTACCTACCTACACGGACACGCACATGTAATAGCTCGGCGACGAAAACTACCGGAAGGGCAAAGCGGCAGCTTTCTACTGCATTTGCTGTGACAAATGCACGGCCATGCAAGCCATAAGCATTCATGAAAGCTTCGGATAGTCTGGACGCCTTCATAGCTACGTAAGGTTAAGTTTCGCGATAGTGCAGTAAGTTGCATAAGGAAATATCTGGGGACTAAAAGGCCATTGCTAATTGTTCATCGCCTATATCCCATTGCAGTGTTCAGTGCAAATTGTCCTTAGGATCTGAAACGCAAAAGAACTTAGACTTCAGAACTATTGGGTTTAGGGTTTGCCAGGACCCCCCAAGTACCCTTTAATAAAGCCCTTATGGTCCTTAATAGTGGGTATTTAGGGTATGTTAGAGGGTAGTTGGGGGGTCCAGGTAGGGTTTAGGGACTATGTATGTTCTAGGGCTTGGTCATGTCAGCTGCTCCGACCGCATGGAGACTTGGAAGTTTTTCCGGCCTTGCCAAAAGGCAGGGACATCTCAGGGTCACAGGGGCGTCAGAAGCTCCGGTGTATACGGCATGCTTGCACCTGACGGTTCAGGCTTCCTTCAAGGGTTCCTATCAGGATTACCGTACGGGATCCATAAGGGTACTATAAGGGGTTTAGGGCGTTCAGGCTTTGCAGTGTGCTGGGCTTCAAGATTGGAAGATTGGGGTTGTACTTGAGGCCTGCAGGGGTGGAGGCATGATGAAACCTGCCAAGTAAACTGCCATCCCCAGTCCTCACAGATGACTACCGGGTTTGAGTTGCTGCTGTTTTTTCCCTAAACCCTAAACCCTAAACCCTAAACCGTTTTCGTCTCCAGGTGCTTCAGGGTTTAGGGTTTAGGGTCGCCAAAGAGACGGACCTTCTCATAAGAAGTTTTGGGGTTCACGGATCGTAGAACTTGGGGGTTTGAGGGGGATTCTGGGGTTGTACCCTAGGCATCTAAGGACTCATATACTAAGGCTTTTGGGCCCAAAGGCCATACTATACAAGGCTGCTGGTCTATTTTGATTCCCATCGGTAGGGCTTTGGGGTTTTAGCTTTATAGGGCTTAGGGTACTTGGAGGCCCATGGGTAGTTGTTATAACTGGGGTCATAAGTAGGGTAGCTATACTTAAAACCCATTTTAGAGGATGTATAACCCTACTTCTAACTACCCTACACCCTGAACCTTAAATGGTCAGAACCCTCAAAGGAACCATACTTATAAACCTACTTGTAGCTACCCTAAACCCTAAACCTTAAACCCTACAGAAACCGTAAAGGAACCATACTTGTAACCCTACTTCTGACTACACATGAGCCTCCAAGTATGCTGAAGATCTACGGCACCTCTGTTCTCCCACGACAGAAAGCTGAGCAGACCAGGCACTTCCTCAACCCCGCAGCCTCCACCCTCAAGCGGAAAAATCACCCAACAGTGTACTGTCGATATCCTGTTGCGCGCTGCTGGTACAAAGGAAAGCTTAGAAGTCCAATCGCTACGTATCAAGTGAGCCCTGTCTACAAAATCCTTTATGTAAATCCTACTTCATGTCAGCATCATGTCCCTACAGGATATGTCCTTGACCTGTTCCTGTAGGGCATCATGTAATGTGCCCATGTTCAAGGGTTCCGACTTTGGGAGCGTAAATTTAGGGGTTTTAAGGTTTAGGGTTTAGGGTTTTGGGGTTTAGGGGTTAAGGTTTTGGGTTTAGGGTTTAGGGGTTCAGTTTTGCGGTTTTGGGTTTAGGGTTTAGGGTTTACAGTAGAACCCCAACAGTTGGAAACCCAATAGCCTCAATCCTTAAGAGTCATGTACAGGGAA